ATCATAGAACCTTAGAGTTGGAAGGGACCACAAGGGTCATTGACTCCAGCCCCATTCGGCCAAACAGAAAGACAAGCACTCTTGAGAGATGGCCATCCATCTCTGTTTGAAGATCTCAAAAGGAGGAGAATCCACCATCCTCCAAGAAAGTCCATTCATTCCACTGTTGGACAGCTCTAAACAATCAAGAAGCTCTTTCTGATGTTTAGATGGAATCTTTTTTCTTGTAATTTAAATCCAGAGTTTCATCCCAGATAATTAAATAAACGCAAAGCAGATATTGCTTGTTTTTATAAGACCGGTATCCCAGAATATCAGGAAATTGGCAAGTTACAATGTATATGTCATGTTATAAAATGTGCAGCAAATGGGCTACATTTGCAAAGATAGCTGTGCAGAATGGGCAGCTCCAGCACATTAACAAAGAGAGTTGTGGCATTTTTAAGGATTAACCCGTTCTCATCTTTAGGTCGCTTTTGCAGAATTTGGGAGACACCCTATCTAAGCAATTGAACAAATTCCTCCCTCGTGTGGTGAGTTCTCCAGAAATTTTTATTTATCCAAGGCTATTGGTCATCCCTTTTTGCCTCTGAATTTGTGCAATTCCTTGCAACCTCTCACAGGATTCCTTGGATTCCAGGGATCCCTGGTTGAGGAAGCTGGCTCTAGAAGGTAGAAAGCCCAGAAAAACTTTTCAGATGATCACCAACATCTAGCTGAGTTCTCTCACTATTAAAACCATTTGTAGTGAGCCACAAGCAATGCATGTTGGAAAACCCCTCCTTGGGTGGTAGCTGAGAAAGATCTCCAGATACATTTAGCTGATAGTCCCAATATCAGAATTTCTGAATATTTAGGCCTAAATCCAATTGCCAGATATAGTAGACCCATTGAACTATTTAGCTGAACTGTAACTCAACAGTTGTGTAAATCCCATTGTTTTAATAGTTTGGTGCTCTGTTTGGGGCCAACAATTAGATTTTGGCCTCTTAAACGATTACACTTTGGGAATCAACATAGTAAATACTGTCCTGCCAATGAATGGGAAATATTCCTCCTTTGCTGTATTAAGTCCAGATCCTCTAAGAGATCTGCCAGATAAGCAGAATCTATCCCTTCCCTTTCCTTGCTGCCTCCTCCTCCTCCTCCTCCTCCTCCTCTTCCTCCCTCAAGCAATGCCTTTCCTTATGAAAGCTTTCCCTGTGAACTTTGCAGCGATGTAAACTTGAGTAGATTGACTCAGGGCCTTTGCAGACTGCCAGAAATAGTGCAAATTGAGTCCACTTTAAGGGTTATGGTTAGTGCTAGGGAATCATGGGAATTGTTGTTGTTTTTCTGAGACATTGAGCCTTCTCTGTCAGAGAGCTCTGGTGCCACAATCAAATACAGTTCCCATGATTCCCTAACCCTTAAAGTGGACTCCATTTGCACTATTTCTGGCAGTCTGCAAAGGCCCTCAGACTCAAGTCACTTCAATGTAACTTGACTTGGACCTGACTTGGTAATAAATGATCTGCTGACTCAACTCAATTTGAGATTTGTATATTTTTAGCAACCAACTTCCTGGCCTAATTTTATCCAGAAACAGGAAACATATTAGGCAATGAGCTTGAGGGAAGAGCTGAGGTCTACTCAGCAGCCTGACCCCGCTACACATCAGAGGAGCCTTCTAAAGCTTTTGAAAAGGTTTAGAAGCACCCGTCTGCCTCAAGCCCATTTCCTAACCTGTTTTCTGTTCCCTTCCGAGAATGTTTTTTTTTAACCTAATTTTATGGATATCTTGATTTTTTAGCCATTGAACCTCCACCCTACATGCATCTCACCACCACCTCCTTTTTTCTGTTGAAGTTGGTTCCCAGACTTGAGACTTGACTTGAAAGTATCTTGCAAGGACTTGAGACTCAGCTTGAGACTTGAAGTTTGAGACTTCAGACTTGACTTGAGACTCAACTTGAAAGTATCTTGCAAGGACTTGAAACAACTTGAGATTTGAAGGTAGAGGCTTGAGACTTGGAGTAAAAGACTTTAATGAAACACTGGGACTTTGGGGCTTATTCTTCACTGATGCATTGCTGCTTATCACTGTATGGATGGTTCAGGCACTGTCCAGATATTCACACGTGGGACAAGGAACGTGGAACTCTGTTCTCTTACTCCAATCTCCTTTCTTTCTTTTGCAGCTGTGTCCAGTTATAAAACTTGTGCTGGAAATCTTGAACCCTCTTCTTAACCTAGCCAATGGTAAGTTACTTTGGTCCCAACTTGAAACAGAAACCTTGCATGAGATCTCTATGTTCAACCAAATCTAGGTGAGTCCTCTAAGGCAATGCTACTCAATGCGGTGCTCCATGAACGGTGCTGGTCCATAACCTATTGGCTGTTGATCTATGCTGAGTTCCCAGGAAAGAAAGAAAGTTAGTGGCTGGTCTCTGGTAGATTTTTTTTTTTT